AGTAGGATTCCTCCTACTTGGGCGCCCCCTTGGCTGCTCCCTCTCCCTCCCACCTATATATATGAGGGGGGAGGCGCCTAGAACACACAACAACAACAACTGTTAGCCGTGTGTAGCGCCTTCCTCCACAGATTACACCTCGAGTCATATCTTCGTAGTGCTTAGGCGAAGCCCTGCGCGGATCACTTCACCATCACCGTCACCACGCTGTCGTGCTGATGAAACTCTCCCTCGACACGTTGCTGGATCAAGAGTTCGAGGGGTGTCATCGAACTGAACGTGCAGAACTGGGAGGTGACGTACGTTCGGTGCTTGATCGGTCGGAACGAGAAGAAATTCGACTGCATCAACCGCGTTGTCAAACGCTTCCGCTTTCGCTCTACGAGGGTACGTGGACACACTGTCCCCTTCTTGTTGCTATGCATCTCCTAGATAGATCTTACGTGAGCGTAGATTTTTTTTTGAAATTGCATGCTACGTTACCCAACAGAAACGACGTCCACGGACACCGCCACCCTCGGCCAATACATGGACTGGGTAAGTGATGTACCTCGGTGCAGTGATCCCTCCGACGCATCCCAACTCCGCCAACCGCTCGCATCCATGCCACCCGAGCGGCCATGTATGCCCGCCCGCACCCGAGTCGTGCAATCTACCCAAGATCAACACGCCACCCACTTCCAGGGCCGCCGCCCTTCATCCAAACCGTCCTGGAAACATCAAATGAGCAAGCATTGGACAATGCTAACCCCAATCGCCGTTGGAAACTACAATGACCATCCTGCCTCAGACAACACCGAGTCAGCAACAAACGCACCAAGTTGGCGAAGCGGGAAGGGAGGAGCAACACACGGCCACGACCGGCACCCCTGTGCCAGCGATGGGCGACTTGACCTCGTTGAAGCCCCCTTCCCTCCTACCGGCCTTCCCACCTGAAGCACCCTGCTTTGCCCCACCACGACCACTAGCACAGACCGACAAGAGGTCACCGACGGCCGCGCGTCCGTCGAAGAAGTCTGAGAGGACCACGACCAAGGAAGAACCCACGGACTGTCCGCCCGCGCCGCACGCCATCGCCCAAGCCGGGAAGAAGGCCAGGCCGGACCCCAAGTAGCACACATGCCGCCACCACCACAGACACGCCACCAGTGTCGCCACCCCTAAGCACGACAATGTCGGCCGCCCATGGCTCCTACTGGACCCAGCCGTCGCCGCCGGATGGATCGACGACGCCAGATCAAGCCGGATCCACCCGAGGCCATCCCTCGTGATCCGCCAATGGAACCGCCCCATGGAAGAAGCAGCCCCACCACGCCAGGGGCCGGCCCAGCCTAGCCGGCAGCTGCCCCTAGTCCACGCCGCCGCATCCCTCGTCGCCTCCCGCCGGATCTGAGGAAGCCACCGTCGGAGCTTGCTGCCCGCCGCCCCCAATGCGCCAGCACGCCCCGCCACCAACTTCCACGCAGCCGCCGCCGCCGCATCGCTGCGCCCACCGCACAGCCGTCTGGGCACCGCCGCGCCGCCCTGCGTGAACGCCATGCTCCTCGCTTGAACCTGCGTCTCGCACCACAGGACACCAGGGGAGGAGGAAGAGGAACCCCACCGTCACCGACGCTAGCCGGGCTTCGCCCGGCGGCAGCGGGGAGGTGGTGCTGGCGGGCGGCAGCTAGGGTTTCGCCCTGCCGCCCGCGAGAGCGGCCCGAGTGAGAGAAGTTCCTCTCGTGTTTTGTGGCTTATGGTCGTGGTCATATGTCTTTAGGTGGTGCTTCTCAAATGCCCGGTCTTGAGCTCTGGGTTGAGAATTATAGGTTCGGCCCTAATTGGTTATACATGTATATGGTGACGTTCTTTGTGTCATTACCCTGATAAAGGCATTGCTCGAAGTTTGCTCGAAGTCGTTTTTCAAGGTGAAACCCCAAGATCAACTCTTTGATGGTTGGATCCGGCAATAACGATGCTTGTTGCGATTTGCTTTTTGGAGGCGTCACTGTCAGAAGAAAAAAATTCTCACCGTACTTGTGTTGTATGAGACTGTTGGCGTTGATGGTCACTGTTGTACACCATCATACCATTAATCACTGTTTTTATGCTTGGGTTTTTTCCCCTCTCTTCACCTAGACCTAGCTTCGTGAATCGTTACTCTTTGTATGTGTTATTGTCGATTGTGTGCATCCTAGTTATGTGCTCATTATGATTGTATCCATCGATGCTACATTGCGCGTCAACAAAAAGCGTCATCTATCGGATAAGACAAGCTATATATTTCCTTATAACTTAAGCATATAGAGTAGTAGCAGTTTCGTATGATCGGACACTTACAAATTTACACCTCCGGGACGTAAATACAAGGGGGGAATCATGTGGAGTAACGGATTACATTCCAAGAAGTAAACTCTGGCAGGTATACCATCAAAAGCATTGTGTATAGCTCAACGCACTGCAAATGCCCGAGAAGTACCCGTAAAATGCTTGATTGACCCTATCAATGGCTTAGAGGCACCAGAATGCCTCAACCTATAAACACCAGAGGCAGCATCCTCAGGAATGGTCCACTCCAGCGTCGCGAAACTTCTTGGACTGAATTTTGAAGGCCTAGACCACTTGAATTGCAATGACCAATCATCATCATCATAGACAGGAATCCAGTCGTTACCATTTAGCTTCTCAACAAGTGCGAACGTGCCCTCGGTTAGAAGGTCGTTCCTTGGACAGGCCGAATAGAATGTAGCATTCACAGTACTGCCTTTCCTGAAGTTTGAGTTTGCTGCAACGTCGGAGCTAACATCCCCAAAGTGAACACCAGGAGGAGTAGAGTCATACATGACACCTGGCAGCAGTCCAATTTGCTTCTCCAACATGTCAGGAGGTTGGATGTTTGTGGGGACCTCTTTGTTTTCAACCATAGCTGTGGCAAGTTTCTGAAACTCTTGAATGTATGCACTCAAGGTGTGGGGACCGTACAATGTTGACGCGCCCTGCAAAACATGTTTATGCCAATGAATTATTCATGCATTGATACATATGCTGAGTGGATCTATTTTATGTGTTTGATGGGTTCAGGTTAAAGATACATCAGATCTTTAGCAACAAAGCATCAATGAAAGCCAACCGGTATAATTGCGGAGTTTCTAGCAAAAAACCAGATATAATTTTTCTTTAGTTTGCACTACAAACATGGATGGGGCTGAAACAAGTTTTGACATTGCAGGACATCTTCAAATCATGACACTTGATTCTAGTGCAGCCTTGCAAGCAAATCGAAGAGGGAATAACCAGCATTCTAACACATCTCTACTGAGTAGAGATGTATGATTTAGCCATATCAATTAATCCCATAAAACCCAGTAACTCTGTAAGAATATGCCAGAAAAGAATAACTATGAAAAGAAAAAAATTGTGCAACATCTGTTTTGTTGGATATACCTCGTATCTTTGGATCTGGTATTCTTCAAATGTTGTGACATACTGAGAATATGTGTTTGTCAGCCCCGCAAGAACAACATGAATATTTGTACCAAATTCACCATTGCTGCCACTTATCAGTACATTTTTTACAGCATCGCGTAGCCGCCTGCCAGCCATTGTCGTGAATTCTGTACCAAAACATAACAAAAGAATTAGGGCGCACTTGGATTGGGTGTATTTGAATACACGGGTACTTAATTTACGGGTGTAAATTACCGGGTCAGTAGAGATTTCCGGCTGGAAACGAAACGACAGATGGAGACGTGTATTGTTTACAGGTGTATTGCTAAGCAAAACGACATCCCAAACATGGCCTTAGGAGTGCTGGCGCGCATTGTTGCTGAGTATTTGCCTTGCTAGCTCTATATCCCAAGCAATTGTCCACCTAACTCTTGCCCCACAAGGCTACGCGTTTGGCACAGCTAAAAAACTTTGCTATGTAAAGCAAGCTCGCTATATTGGTAAACTCTTCATTTTGTCATGATGTGGACTTGTGGTCCACTAAGTAGTTCCTAATAATTACTATATACTATATTCAGTAAAGTTATATTTAAGACACAAAATACACATTAAGTGGGCCATCTTTTCATTGCCTAGCAAAGCAAAATGGGAAAATGATGCAGACATGCATAATGCAGCTGCTGTTGAGAAAAAAACGGTAACACCAACATTTTACACCATGAGCATGGCATTATCATAGCATATCTCAATAGATCAAAGAACCACATGCACTTCTAACTTGACAGACATCCTAGGATTGACGAATTGTAATATACCTCCAGGAACACACAAGATAACCAGCTGACCAATTCTTACGATCTGGATGGGAAGTATCGCAGGCTGCAAAAGATTACAAAAATCAATACAAGACCAGCAAATAAAAATTGTGTCAATTCAGTAAGTTGTTTCTAGTAAGAGATCATCTTTTTTGGAAGTTAGCAGGCGAGCTGCAAAGTTAACTGATCAGGGGAAAATCTAGTTAGAAATCATGGTTCTGATTTGAATATTGTGAAGCTTAGGAACAACAGGTGCTTTGCAGTTAACAAATGAAGACTGAACATGAAGATATATGATGGCTATACTTTAAGCTCTTGAACTAAGTAACTCCCATGAGAAAATAAATAAATCTAATTGTTGAAGAAAAGTAAGGAATGTGACATTCCCATATATTACACGGAACTATATCTTATATATCAGCCTATACAGTGCTGGTTCGATGTAGCAGCAATGTAGCAGCAAGAGCGAGTTGTTCTGCTTTGGTAGAGCCAAGGATGAACAAGAGGCTTATAGGCAATTGTTTGGGTGCGATTTGGGGGCTTTACCTTTTTCTTACATAGGTATACCAATCCACCACCGTAAGCTAACAAACAGAGAATGGAAATGCATCGAAGACCGATTTGAAAAGAAACTGAGTTGCTGGAAGGGCAAGCTCATGTCATATGGAGGCCGATTAATTCTGATAAATTCAATGCTCACGAGTATGCCTATGTTTCTCTTGTCGTTCTTTGAAGTCCCGGTTGGAGTCAGGAAAAGACTGGACTTCTATCGATCGCGTTTCTTCTGGCAGGGTGATGAACTAAAATGAAAATACCGCCTAGCCAAATGAGATATCATCTGTAGACCGAAAGACCAAGGGGGTCTTGGTATTGAGAATCTTGAAGTTAAGAACAGATGCCTTCTCAGTAAGTGGCTGTGGAAGCTGTCCAGTGAGACGGATGCCACGTGGGCGCAAATCCTTCGTAGCAAGTACCTTCAAACCAAAACTTTGTCCCAGGTGACAGTCAGGCCGACCGATTCGCCTTTCTGAAAAGGACTGATGAAAGTCAAACAATCCTTATTTAATAGGACAAAGTTCATTATTGGCAACGGTGCTAGTACACGTTTCTGGGAGGATACTTGGCTCGAAGAGGAACCCTTGGCCATTCAATACCCGTCTTTATATCGCATTGTTCAACGACGCGAGGTGTTCGTTGCAACGGTATTTCAATCTATCCCCCTTAATATTCAGTTCAGACGGTCGCTAGCGGGCAATCGTTGGGAAGAATGGCTCCGTCTAGTTAGGAGACTGGTGGAGGTTCAGCTTTCTCAACAACCAGATGAATTACGCTGGAAGCTTACTAGGTCTGGAGTATTCACAGTTAAATCAATGTATATTGATGTTATCAATTTGAGCTTCATTCCTACCTCCAAGCATGTTTGGGCTGTCAAAGTTCCATTGAAAATAAAAGTGTTTATGTGGTTTGTCCATAAACAAGTTATTTTAACCAAGGACAACCTGACGAAGCGTAATTGGACAGGACCTACTAGGTGTAGTTTCTGTGATCGGGATGAGACGATCAAGCACCTGTTTCTTGATTGCCCGCTAGCCAAAGTTCTTTGGCGGACGGTCCACATTGCTTTTAATATTACTCCACCGAATTCTGTCAACACGTTATTTGGGACGTGGCTTAATGGGATTGAGCCCGACTTAGCGAGACATATTCGTGTAGGAGTATGCGCTTTGCTGTGGACTATCTGGACTTGCAGAAATGATTTGGTTTTTAACAGAACATCACGTATTCATTTTTTGCAGGTTATCTTTCGAGCCACGGCTTCGATCCGTTTGTGGTCGTTACTCACTCAGATGGAGGCCAGTGAGCATTTGGTTACTGGATCTGTCCGCTGGGAGATGGTAGCTCGGGATATCTTCAACCGGTTTGGATGGCGGTCATGTAATAGGATAGGAAATTAGTTTACCTATCTCTCTTTAGCCAGCCGGTTGTGGCGTCCTTTATTTGGCTAGTTTGTGTTTGTAGCCCATTTTGGCTCTGTGTGAGCTTTTTTCTCTTTTTTCAGTTGGGAGACTTTGAGACCTTGTTGGAACCTTTTTGTTTGTTTTAATAAGATGGCCGTATGCACCGCTCTGATGCAGAGGCCAGGGAGATCCCCCTTTTCGAAAAAAGAAAAAAAAAGCAGCAATATAGGTCCTTATCATGGCGGCGTTAGTTTCAACTATCAAGTGAAATAACAATTAAGACGTTCCAGAGGAAGCAAAGCAACAAGCCTGCTTATGATTACTGAAAAAAGCAAGTCATACCGCCCAATCATATGGTTCCTTCATTTCACCAGTGTCCAGCAATATTGGTTTTGGAGCTTGGCACTCGACTTGCTCTTTCCCTGGTGTCTTTAGTAAGTTCCTCACTAATCTCCAGAAAGGGTTTCCCTGATAAGACGAGCTTCGCAGTCAATGAATAGCACATCATCAAATTCTGAAGAATACATTTAATTGATATACTGAACCTTGTCATCTCCTTGTTTGAAATCAAAAGCTCCAGGGCCATCTGTGGTTCCAGCAGCAAATGCAAACCCCATGGCTGCTGGGCATGTTTTCACCACCTGCGGGCCGCCCGTACTTGTAGAAACACTAACTTTGAGTTGCGAGAAATCTAAGTAGGTGTGTCGATAGTCAATTTTTCCTTGTATTTCTTCAGAAGCTGAATTAAAGAGATCTACAGCCTTCAGAAATTGCCTATTCCCAATTATGCGGGTACTTTCAAACTCATTAGGATATCTGCAAGGCAGCAAAATTTCATTTATACCTAATAGTGGCTTATGTGTATGGAAGGTTAATAAATTGTTATGCATGATGAATACCCTGGGCCTCGTCCATAGCAAAGTTCGTTCTTCCCATTACATGTGCTGTGATTGAAGTCACAAGGAAGATGGGTGTCTATGCAAAACGTCCCCAGGACATTTGGACTAACATCTCCACAGTTTGACTGGCAAAACGCGGAAACAAATTTTGCATTGTTTTCTTGAGAGCTTCTAATGCGTCTAGTGATATTTGAACCTTCCAACCGTCTTCCACCCGATGCCTCGTAGGATGACGCCAATTGCATTAAGTCGTCAGCTGAACAAAAGCAATGGAGAAAATAATCAGGTTTATGCACAACCTAATATGTTTAATTCCAATACACTATCTAAACAATGCAAGAATCATGTAGCATGTAACATACTTATCTCATCCGGTTCCGGTATTATTGTAGAGACTCTTCTCGGAAGTACAGATGTCATGTGCAAAAATCCAAGATCATCAGAACTTGCAACACCTGTCTGCTTTGGAAGGCCATTCTTTTCAGCCCAGTCTTCCATGAAACGTGCAGCTGCTCCTTTGTTATCACCACTTATCAAAGAATTTGTGCGACTCATTGATGTTCCGTGAGTCGCAAACCAATTAAAACTTCCAACTGGACCCGATTCATCATCTACAAACTTAACAAGGGTCATTTCTTTATCAACATTGTATTTGTATTTGCTTCTCTCTTCAGCAGGGTTATTCAGGTACGCGCTCGGGCTGCGATTCACACCAGCATCAAGAAGGTCACCTGAAAATCAAGCTTCAGAGATTGATAACGAAATCTTTGCAACAGCTAAATCTAAGATTAGCCAGCATCAAAGACCATACAGAGAGAAAAACGCAGGCAGCATACGGGGAATAGAACATGCAAAATTATACTTTGGGGCATTTATTTTATATAGCTGCAGTAGCGAGAAATAAGATTGTAGCTAGACTTCAAGGAACATTTAAATACCAAACTGAAACTAAATGACATTATAAAGTAAAGTGGATGACACTCCAAAAACTACGCAACGAATGTATTTTAATTAGACGTGTGAGATCAAGATAAATGGTAGTTTGGTAACACATTAGTCCAAGACAGTGCAAATAGTTTCATACCTTTATTCACATAGATCTTCCCAGGATGGAGGTTGTTATGAGCTTCAACAATGCTTTTCTCAATCCCATCGACAATTACATCAAATGACTGACGAACAAACCCAAGAGAAGTGACAATATAGACTACATACTGCAGATAACCTCCAGGCCCAGCATGGGTATGGATCCCACTGATAGCCACGTTATTCTCATTATAAAGATCACCATACCTGCCCAATTGAGGTTTGCCAAGTCAACCCAACTTTATGAGCATGCAAGGCAGAATCTACAGTTTTATTGAGAAGTAGACCAAGCAGATTACAGTATAAGACCTCAAATAAAGTCACCGAGTGCCTTTGTACAGTATGTATGTGCAATGTGAAATGGCTAAAGTGGCACTGCCTCAGTTCAATAATCTAAATAATGTGCAGAACAATATCAGCAGTTAATGGTGGCTTAAGATAATCAAGAAAACAAATCGGGTACAAGTAAGAAGATAGCTTCATAATGAACTAATATTTCAAGAGAGATAAATGAGCCACGGATGATGTAACCAGGCAACCTTAAGCACACTCTAGGAAGAGACATCACACAGAGAGTTGAAACTTACATTTCAGGATTTTCTGATAAGTAAAAAATCAATAGAAGTGAGCTCTTACCTTGCTTTTAGCCTTTCGAGCACCTTTATATTCACAAGCTGTGATGCCATGCAAGCATCCAGATTCACAAAGACAACACGCTTTCCATTAGGCTCAGCAACAATAAACGCGCGTGACTTGAGCCTGAAGTGAATCCCTGATGCAATCTGCTCAGTATTTGCATATCCCATCATGTTAACATCTGCTGCGGGCCCTGTTATGTCATAGCTCCCCATGCCGACCAAATATGGAGAATCGGAGAGCACCGGGCTGCAATTCTGAAGGACAAGAAGTAAAAGAAGACATAGCCATATCCTGAACGAACCAAAACCACGGACTTGATAGCGCAAGCAAGATGATGCCTCCATCAGGAACCAGGGAATGGAGTTGTTGATCAACTCATGCAAGTCCAAAATCTCCAGAGAAGAACAGATTAACCGTACACTGCAAAAGAGAAGAGAGCCTATTACAAAATAGCCGAACATTCTATCATAATGATGCAACGGGAAATGGTGTAAACTGTCCACGAAGGGCTTCTAAAAAAACAGTGGCAACACAATTTCACTGTGCTCCTTTACATGAATAGATTATGAGCAGACGAGACCTATTGAGCATGAAGAAATTTATGTTGCCTGACACATGGATTCCTCGTCCTCGACATTGTCACGGCAGAAGATAGAAGAGCATGGCACACATATAGATATAGTAGGGCAGATCGTAGGATAATTATATCCTACGAAACTTGCTTCTAAATCACCAGGTCGAGCACGCACCCTATTGAATCCTTAGAATGGGGATTGCCAACCAACGCGACCGCACGTCAAGGCCGCGTCTCTCACAAGACAAGCAACCCCTGTAACGTCCAAACTAAGCCAAATCCCAGAAGCAAAGCCGCAGCAAAGCGACACGGGTTGCGGCCACTCTCTCACTAAACAAGCAACACTTTCAGTGTGACAGTCTGGGGCACTGGCAGGATTCAACGCCAAGACAAAATCACAACCCAACCCAACCGGAGCACAGAATCAACCCCAAATCCGCACCAATTAGACTCAACAGTTACGCAATTTGATGGCCTGATCCAGCGAGACGCGTGCAATTAGTCACACGTCGACAGACAAAAAAGAAACGAACAACCGACGCGACCTGGGTGGATGGAAGGAAGGGGGAGGAGGCCCGAGCAAGCGAACTCACCATGCGAATGGCGAATCTCAACTGGGAACCCCGGCGACTTCAGCTGCTGCTGCTGCGCTGGCTGGTCGCCTCCGTCGCCATTTATTAAACAGCACCAAGCGCAGACGAGACGCGACGCGATCGATTGGGAACTCCAAGAGCAGGGTGCCACTGCCTTGTAGTCGTGGCTCACTGGATAAGAGGAGTTTACTAATACTAGTAGCACCAAGGCAAGCGCGCTGGCAATCAAATCTGACGAGCGGTGAGGGAGACAGGCGGGAATGAGTAGGAGGATGCAGTGGAGACAGGGGCGGAGTGGCGAAGACGGCGACGGACAGGGTGTGGCGTCCAAGCCACGGCTCGGAAAGGGCGGGCCGGTAGATGCGTGGTGGGGTATACTGGTACTATGGTGATGGTGGGGGAGGCCTCAAGGAAAGTGCGGCTCCGGCCACCGGCTTTGCGCTTTTTCGCGTGACCACCTGACCGGGTGGGTTTTACCGGCGGTGTGGCGGTTCACACCTGAATTTATTGTTGAAGAAATTTGTATGGAAGCTGATAGATGTATCCGTATCCGTCGATCTGTAGTTGTCATCGTCTGGCAGATCTGGTAGGTAGATCTGACTCATATGGTCCATCCCATCGTTTGGCAGACGATAGAATGCTTTACTAAATGAAGCCGGAGTTCGGGACTAGGAGGCATTAATGGGTGTCTTGTACGGGTTTATGGTCTCATGAATTGGGTCCGTTTGGTAGGCAGGTCTGGACAAGACAAAGACGCCTGGGTTCGGCCACGTGTACAGCTGGGCCGATTTCTTTTAGAACCCTCATTCAAGGCAATTTATTCAAAGTTTTGCGGACAACATCGGACTGCACAACGGCAGTCAAAAAAGCATGAATTACATCAACAGATTCTACAGTCAATCCACTGACTGAAGCTTTCTTAGCACATGTATGAGCTACCTCGTTGGCGCCTCTTCAAGCGTAGGTAATATCGAATTCTTGCAAGTTTTAGAGAAGTAACTAAATCTCTCTAAGTATATGGCCTTCATTGGACCTAAACGAACCATCCTTCCGTTCACCCCGAATTATCAAACAATCCGTTTCAATGAGAACTTTCTGCCATTCCTTTTGTATCGCCGGGGAGGCTGCCTCTCTAAGTGCTAGCAGTTCACTGAGATAGGGATCGTCACACTTTGAAATTTGCACATTCTTCCAGCTAAAACTGCCCAGTGTGGTTCCCGGCAACAACTCCCGCTCCCAAACACAACTCTACTGCCTCCACCGCTCCATCAGTGTTAATTTTCACCCAGCCTACATATTGTGGGTTCCAACCTTCTCTTGGTTTTTGCACCGCAACTGCACTTGTTGGAATATCAAGTGCCTGGATCATCTCTCGAATAAGCTCCATCAAACGAATCGGCTGAAACTTGATCTCATCATAAGTATACTTATTCCAGTTACTCCAAATGGCCCACATTAATGAGACGGCTATCGCCGCTCGTTACTTGATGCAGAACATCGGGTCTAGAATATCGCTAGCCCACGTCACTGGATGTAGATTAGGCATTGGGCCGAAATCATTGTTCTGACCCTTTTGACAACGTTTAGCACAATCTGGCCCTAGTTCCAAAAAATCATGATCTGGCCTTTTTTCTACCGTCATAGTAACTACCTACCGCCATGGTCCTTGGTGGTGGTAGGGACCCGGTCAACGTAGGCAACACCGTCTGACTGCGATGACGTGGATAAGTGGCTACCGACAGGCTCTTCGGCAGTAGGGAGTTATACCCTACCGCTATCGACCCTAGCGATAGGATTCTAAAGAGGTAAGTGACACGCGGGGATGCTTATGCCGATGACTCGGGCCATGGTGGAGGCACATGACAATGAACTTGGAAGAGCAAATGTTTGGATTGGGTTGAGGCAATGTGGGCAAATAGAGGTAACACAAGTATCCGAAGAGAAAGAAGCAGTATAAGAGGAAGAAGCGACAAGAGAAGAAAATATGACGATGCATTTCCCCCTAGTTCGGCATTGATGAACTTTTCCCTGTTGATCCATATGACTGTTAATTTGTACTGCAATTTGTCAGTATTTAGGATGAACTGTCATTTCCTTACTAGCTAGAAGTGAAACGGTTTTATTTTGTATTGCATATGCAGTGTAATGTGTAGTAAGGTCACTGACAGGGCCACGACCCGAGGGTGGCTAACCCAGACCAGTCAAGTATGGAGATGGGCCGACGCCCAAGGCCCAACAAAGGGCGGACCCTGTTGGAAATATGCCCTAGAGGCAATAATAAAAATTATTATATTTCCTTGTTCATGATAATTGTCTATTGTTCATGCTATAATTGTATTAATCGGAAATCGTAATACATGTGTGAATACATAGACCATAATATGTCCCTAGTAAGCCTCTAGTTTACTAGCTCGTTGATCAATAGATGGTTGTGGTTTCCTGACCATGGACATTGGATATCGTTGATAACGGGATCACATCATTAGGAGAATGATGTGATGGACAAGACCCAATCCTAAGCATAGCACAAGATCGTGTAGTTCGTTTGCTAGAGCTTTTCTAATGTCAAGTATCATTTCCTTAGACCATGAGATTGTGCAACTCCCGGATGCCGTAGGAATGCTTTGGGTGTATTAAACGTCACAACGTAACTGGGTGGCTATAAAGGTCCACTACAGGTATCTCCGAAAGTGTCTGTTGGGTTGGCACGAATCGAGACTGGGATTTGTCACTCCGTATGACGGAGAGGTATCTCCGGGCCCACTCGGTAATGCATCATCATAATGAGCTCAATGTGACTAAGGAGTTAGCCATGGGATCATGCGTTACGGAACGAGCAAAGAGACTTGCCGGTAATGAGATTGAACGAGGTATGGCGATACCGACGATCGAATCTCAGGAAAGTAATATACCGACAGACAAAGGGAATTGTATACGGGATTGATTGAATCCCCGACATCATGGTTCATCCGATGAGATCATCGTGGAACATGTTGGAGCCAATATGGGTATCCAGATCCCGCTATTGGTTATTGGCCGGAGAGGTGTCTCGGTCATGTCTGTATGGTTCCCGAACCCGTAGGGTCTACACACTTAAGGTTCGGTGACGCTAGAGTTGTAATGGGAATAGTATGTGGTTACCGAAGGTTGTTCGGAGTCCCGGATGAGATCCCGGACATGACGAGGAACTCCAGAATGGTTCGGAGGTGAAGATTGATATATTGGACGAAGGGTATTGGAGTCCGGAATTGTTCTGGGAGTACCGGGTGACGACCAGCGTGACCGAAAGGAGTTTCGAAGGCCCCGGCAAGCATTGGGGGGGGGCTTATGGGCCAAGGGGAGGGGGCACACCAGCCCACTAAGGGACTGTGCGCCCCTCCCACCCCATCTCACGTAACCTGGAGAGGTGGGGGCACCTCCCCTAGGGCAGCTACCCCTCCCTGCTTGGGGGCAAGTTTCCTAGGGGTGGGGGCGCCCAAACCCATCTAGGGTTTCCCCTTTGGCTGCCGCCCCTCCCCTAGGGAAACCCTAGGGCGCCTCCTCCCCCCTTCCCCCTATATATAGTGAGGGGGAGAGGGCAGCTGCACCCCTTCCCTGGCGCAACCCCTCCCTTCTGCAACACCTCCTCCTCCTTCGTAGTGCTCGGTGAAGCCTTGCCGGAGAACTGCAAGCTCCACCACCACGTCGTCCTGCTGCTGGAGCTCTCCCTCAACTTCTCCTATCCCCTTGCTGGATCAAGAAGGAGGAAACGTCCCTGGGTTGTACGTGAGTTGAACGCGGAGGCGCCGTCCGTTCGGCGCTAGATTGGATCTTCCGCGATTTGAATCGCCGCGAGTACGACTCTGTCATCCGCGTTCCTTGTAACGCTTCCGCTTAGCGATCTTCAAGGGTATGAAGATGCACTCCTTCTCTCTTGTTGCTAGCATCTCCTAGATTGATCTTGGTGACACGTAGGAATTTTTTTGAATTTTTGCTACATTCCCCAACAGTGGTATCAGAGCTAGGTCTATGCGTAGATTCTATGCACGAGTAGAACACAAAGTAG